AGCGCTGCAGTAGTAGTAGTAGCGTTAGCTGTAGTCTTCATCGTTGGGCGCTAGTAGCGCTGTCTCTTATACACATCTAGATGTGTATAAGAGACAGTCTCTGCGGAGGGAAAGAAGGGGGGGGGGGAAGGGGAGAGACGGGGAGGAGGGAAGGTTCAGCCAAAGCTCAGAACGAACCGTACTCGATAGCATATGTTTGATGAAAGCTCTTATAAAGTCGTGGTGCAGTGTGTAAGAGCGCCACACTCCATACAAACACAAGTAGTAACCATACGAAATGTCTGATTGCAATCGCTGATCACATTCCATGGCAGAATTCTCAGAGCGAGAAAAATAGCCCTCAGGTCCTTGAGCATTTCCAAGAAAAAACACAAGAAAATGATAGCCAGCCGCGCTAAGGCGATGGCGATGGAGATTGATTGTTTGGTGAGGCTGCTGATAAACGACGAAAGGAAGGAAGAAAACAAATAGAAGAGGGGGAAGATGGATGGGCTTTTGGAGCGACGAAGGTGGGAGAGAGAAAGAAAAAGAGAGAGAAAAGAAAGAGGGGAACTAAGGCTTTGCATCTTTGGTCATCGAAGGCTCGACACGAAGGCAATCAACATTATAATCTCCCCGTTAGGATAAGACAGGAGCAAGACAATACAAAGAAAGAAGTACAGCAGCAGAAGTTTGATTGGCCATCTGGACCCCTACCATTTCGTCCTCCCTTTCCCAACCCCCTCTGGCCCACCATCACGATAAAGATAAGAGCAGAGAAGTGGATCTCCCACCACCACCCTTGTTACTATAATTAAAATTAGCGTGTCCTTCCTCCCTCCCCTCCCCTCCCCCCTCGGCCTCCACGATCAAGTCGTCATCATGAATCCCGCACCTTTACAAACCCGTACAGCCACACATTTCCCAGGACCTCCTACCATCCTCCGCTCGCTCATCCGCCCCSTCTCTCTCTCTCTCTCTCTCTCTCTCTCTCTCTCTCTCTCTCTCTCTCTCTCTCTCTCTCTCTCTCTCTCTCTCTCTCTCTCTGAGACACACACACACACATGTTCTCTCTCTCACATGTTCTTTGATCTCACAGGACATGATGACTATATTGAAACAGGAGGACGAAGACAAGGAGAAGGAAGCGTTCAACAGGATGCAGACGAAGAGAAGGAAGAGTTCACCAGGATGGAGAAATGAAGAGGAGAAAGGTGCGGGTAAACGGAGCACGGAGGGAGGACGACGTAAAGGTCACTCACCCCAATTGGTCGTAGGAATTCAAGCTAAAACAGGTTCAGCGGCCAGGAGACGCGAGTGGCAAAAGAAGAGAATCGACATGCATGCCTCTTACGGCGTCCCCGCGGTTTTCTGTGATCCACTTGCGGAAACAATCAGCGAACGGCTGTAGTTGCGCGCCACTTTCTCGTCACTGGAAGTGGCCTATAACGTCTGGGTGATCGGTAAACGCCATGCAAATATTAAGTACATGAAATCGTTACACTCACGAAGTACAGCAAATCGCATTGGAACGATTCGGCGCCCTCCGACCGCGTGATCCCCGGTCTGATATGTACCCGCCCGGAAGCGCGCGTCCTCGTCCTCCTGTGTCCCTGGTGGTGCCTACGTGCGCATGTCAGAGTCCGAACTGGCCGAAAAGCACATTCACACGGCGCGCGCAGTGCACAAAAACGATAGCTTTTCTTCTTTTTTTCTTTTCCGGTACATGTCCACAAAAAAAACAACAATGTTGTAAGGCACGCACGGTCAAGTGGTGAGAGTTTTGCAAGAAACAAACAAGCAGAATTTTGGACCATTTCCTGATTTACGCGTGTCATCCGTGCGCAGGGGTCATGCGGGTTAGCAGAGTCTGGCACGCCGCGGTAACGCGACAGGTGGCGGCCCACATTTGCCGACCACGGCGGAGCTACGGTGGTTCTCCTTTTTTTCTTTTTTTTGCAAAAAAAAAAAACAAATTGCACAATTCTCATTTTTTTTGGGGGGGGGCGCAATGCTCCAATCTATTCGTGGGGAGCCGCACGTGCTGGGAACCGGGCCCTGCGTCCCATTAGGAAGATTTGGAGAACATATACCGAAAAACCGGGGCCATTGCCCTTCTTCGGCTAAGAATAGGGTCACCCCACAATTCAACCCGGTTCTGGGAGCCTTACCCAGGTTGAGGCCGTCAGTCCACATGGTAGTCCAATCAGTAGCAAGGGTGGGCCTTAATCATTCATCATTAGTCCGACAATCGTGATGATCGAAAATTCACAGCCTATCGATATTCACCTCAGTCATACGAAACAAGATGAGAACACTCCTCCTTTTCCTCAAGGATAGTTCGGAGAGAGAGAGAGAGAGAGAGAGAGAGAGAGAGAGAGAGAGAGAGAGCATTCGCGATGGCCTAGTGGTCTCGCCAGGAAGTCTTCATAACGAAGCCGTGGGGACAGAACCCATTTTCGATGAGACGCGATAATTGATCCACGTGTGCAGGTTGCACGTGGTGCCTTTCTTCTTTCCTAAGAAGATAGACTGCCTCTCGGGTTTTGTGTATCGAGGGTAAGCTGCAGATGTCGTGCAGGCATGCGCAGTGTATTCCGAGCTAAAGATACCGAGGTGCTTCTCCCGCAATCACATCACCGGCATCTAAGCACTCTTGCATTCCCAAACAAAATCCCAACAACATTGTTCCTGCCAACGACTCAACCATGTTCATGCATTCCATTCGCAACAACTCTTCGGCCTAATCAAAGACCAGTTCATCAAACGACAATTTCATCATTCGAGTATTTCCATCTATACTTGCGGTCATTTATCGCAGAAGGTGCGAAAATGACAGCCATCCATCATTCAGCTCTTCGTGTGCTCTGCACCCGTGCCCCGTCATCCCATGGCTAATCAAACGCAAACCCATCAGACAACCATTTCATGACAAGCATACATAGTCATTAATGCCATAAAGCAGGTGGGAAGAAGAAGTGCAAAAATGGACGAGAACAACAAGATAGATGAAGGTCACGCAAAAATCCGAAGATGAAAAAGAATTTCCGGCTTAACTGTCGTTGAGCTGCACTCACATCAAACAATAGATTCAAGACAAGGAGGCGCATCCGCCGTGAAGTTCCACTATGGCCCCGGGCCATTCATCCATTCAACTCTGATCACTATCCCATGCATGCACTGACGATCCCAGTCGTCATGTGCCACCTTCCACCACTGCGATCGTCACCCCGCCGACTCAGTCTCGACACGGCCTGCCCGGATCCCACAGTCCGTCGTGGCGATCAGGCGCAACACCGGCCAGGCTACAGTCAGCTCGTCGGGACTTTTCGACTCGCACTCCACACATACCATCTAGCCACTGCTTCCCGGAAGTTGGCAGACGAGTTGAGAGAGAGTTTTGCGGGCGCGCTTGCGAAGTTTATAGTTGTGGGGAGGGAGGTGGGTACGAGGGAGGAGGAAGGTTGAGTCGGAAAAGGGTGAGTGAGGTTTTGGGGGTAATTGCCCAGCGAAAGCCATGTCGATCACGCTGAGTCCGATCACAACCAATCAGAGTCATTGCGTAATAGGAGTTTCTCCTTACACGGCACTTCTCCTTAGTTGGACGGGGTGAGGAGAGGATCGATCGGGCTATTGGGTGTAGGACTCCGAGTGGGAGGAAGAAGGGTGCGCATGATAGCGCGAAACGGATCCAAGATTCAGATGATCAAGAAAGAGAAAAGGCGAGCGGGGAGCGAGAAAGAAAGAGAGAGAGGGAAAAACGGTTACAGAGTGAGTGAGTGCGGGCGCAAAGGGGGCATCGAAGATGGCGAGGGGAGCAGAAAAGGGGGAAGCTCGCTTTCATGGCACCGATCACAAGTGCAAAAAGAGGCACCCAAACAGTTACAGATTCCTAAGTCCTATGCTAATTCAAAAATTAAAACCACCATATCCACGCGTAAAGTAAGCGCGGGAAAGACAGTCCTACATCCATTCGTATTCCCACCAAATTCCCAGAGTTTTTCGCGACGTGGTTGAGAACATTCATACACAAAAAGGACACGTCAGGTTCAAAATTTATAACTGTCGAGCCAAATTCCTAGCGCGCTTACTAAAGCACGCGCAATTCCCATGCATTTCCCAAATTATGAAAACAGAATTTCAAGAATCGACACGGGTCTCAGCAAGGCATCTTGAATCAAAAACAGAGAGGGGCCTTGTTGGGCCGAGTAAACTTTGAAAAGAAAATAGAACGAGAAGGGGTCCAGAAGATGGCGCAGGCGTAGCAGCTGGTTCGTCACAGTCTCTCCCCTCTCACTCTTGAGTGTAATCGTCTGGGGCGTCACCGTCACTGTCACTATCTCTGCCTCGTCTCTCTCGCTTGTTGCCTGACAGCCTAGCGGCTTTAGTCCTTCCGTCGCTGCGAGTTGGCCTCGGGGCCGCTCTCCACTCTGAATCTTGCCTCAGCCGACATATCAATTTTTACGTTCATCAACTTTGGTCTTGACCTATATATTTTGGGGCATGCATCTGCTTCACCTCCCCGAACATTCCTTGCACCACGCTCCTTAAATGATAATAAGCATCTAACGAGACTCTCAGTACTATGATCCAAAAATTAATATCGGCTTCCTGAAGTCTAATCCCTTCTAATTGCTGAAGCGGCATCCACGATTTGAACGTTAAATGGTATTCCTTCGATTGTTGCAATTTGATAATTAACTCCTTCTCTTGTACCAACCACAATGCAATCTCCTTTGATCTGGCTATGTATGAGGTTGCATTGGGGCCATCAAACTTGATTCTCCCTCTCCTCGTATCAAGTCCAAAAATGCGACATGCAAACCATCCATCTTCATAAGCTCTAATTAAGTCTTCCTTCACTTGTCTTGCAAGTTGCCGAGCTTTATCTTGGAACATAACAATTACAGTGTGTTCCTTTAACCAAGCCTTCTTGATCTCATTCGCTTCGCTATTGACCACAAACCTTTTTCCATCTTCATCTTCGACCACTTCTCTCGGAGAAGCGTCATAAACACTTCCCAACCGACTCTCTTAGTTTGGCTGCATTCATTTCCGTCGCCGATGGAGTTGGGGGGATGTACCTCCCTGCTCTCGCTTGACTTGTCATGACCTTTGACCTAGGACGACTTGTGAACGCCTTACAGTTTGACTTTAATTAGGGTTTCTGCGATATTTTACTATCGTCTCATTACTGAGTATGTATGATGCTCCTTCCTCTTTGGAATGAGATGAACATCTATCCTACTCTACACTACCGGACTGCTGTTAGGGCACATGCGAGTTCGTCCCCGTTTCGAGCAACGAGCATGGCCACATCCATACTCCGTCATGGCGGCGGAGGTGACGGTCAGGCAGCGTCGTGGCAACCATGGTGACTGTCTGAAGTGGAGCGCTATGCTACCCACCCGCGTTGGCTGCTCCCCTGTGGTTCTCCTTTTGATTTCAACGTGCCGCCAACCGTAGGCGTACGTAACAATCGTTATTTTTTTATTTTTTATTTTAACTACGCTATATTATTCTCTCAAATCTTTCATCACCTTTCGAATTCTTTCAATTCACCTTCATTACCTGCCTACCACTACTCCTAAGGCTTATACAGAGGACCCCTGCGAACATACCTTTGTTGTCTCCCTCCACCCATCAGAGGGGATGCATGTTGCCCCCCGCCCCACGTTGAACCTTGGTGGTCAAGGATGGGGTGGGGCTGTCGATGGGGTTCCGGCTAATGCAAAGACCGAGCATTTCGCCAGTAGTTGCGCCTCCCTTTTCATTGTCCCCCACCCCCAACCAAATAATAGCAGTGTCAAAGGTCAACACTCTCCCACACACAACCCGCCCACACTCACACTCACACTCACACCCATGTTGGCCAAGGACCCAACTGATACCGATCAGAGGTGTAATTCGTATACCACGTTGAATTGTAGTGGTGCTGGATTTTGGCAGTGATCTCATTCACGCAAGCTAACATCGTGTATTTGTAGTTACCTACAACGGTGAGACAAGATTGAATAGAGGGACAATTATGTGTGACACGAGTTTAGGGAGGAAAGTTTCTCCCTCTTACTGCGTCCATTAGATTCTGACAGATCCAACGTGCTCTGTTACTTTGGCTCTCGCCTTTTGCCCAGAGTATGGAGGCCTTAGCTCTTACTTTTCCCTTTTTGTGAAGGGAGAAGGACTGCCATCATTGTATTGGCGTTATTGAGTTGGACTCGAACTAAGGATCTGTTGACACATATTTGCTGGTGGATTTCATGATGAGGATAGAGAAACTCTGACCTCTGACGCTCCAATAGAAAACGGACTCTGGCAGAGGAAGGACAAGTAGCGAAGAAAAAGGAAAGAAAAAAGGGAAAGTCTATCGTGTAGTTACGAATGCGTTCACTATCAGGGTAGGTAACTATACGGTCCGAGAATAATGGGAAAAAAATTTCGTCCCCATTACTAGTGTTAAGGAGCAGCTTGTTTTCTTGTTGACGACATCATCTGTTTAGTTTTGGCGTCTATATTTTCATTATGGCACAGGTTCACATAA